CTGAGGCCCCATCTTCACCTGCATGGTCCATGCTGAACTGTACTCCTCTCCCAGCCGGGAGCAACAGACCTTTCTAATCAACCATCCAGATTGTCTTGGGTTAGAAATCTGTTTCTGCTATTCTAGAATTTGTTTAGAGCCATATTTTACAAGTATTTGGAGGGGTTTTGGGGAGAGCTCAAGCAGGTCACTGCTTTTAATCCACCATCCTGCTCTGCCCAGGAAGTGTTATCTCAATAGGCAAATAATATCTTAGTATTATTATGAAATTAGTTTTCACCTCATGGACCCCCTGAAAGGATCTTAGGGGGTCCACAAACCACACTCTGAGAATCACTGCTATAAAGGCTCACCTCCCATTTAACTCAAACTGATCCAAGAGAACTTCCCTGATCAACTGCTCTTAAATAAACAAATTACAATAATGGTTTCATTAGGCATGACTGCATCCTTTACTTGAATGTCCTGTATTCCCAACACAAGTAAGTCCCTGATGATTCTGAAAAAACAGCAAATATTACAAGGCAATTTGGCTGTATGACAAAGTCAAATGCATCAAATTAGACTTCTACAATCTAAACTGGCATACTCTCCCATTTCAAGGGGCCTAAGGAAATTAGTAGAGTGGAGATCTATGGAAAATCATGTTCACCAGCCTACTGACTAAAAAAAAAAAAGGAACGGGGAAGGCTAATCTACATAACTAAGAGGAAGGAGAAAGATGAATGTACAAGAGAGAATAATAATCTCACATTTATATAGTATTTTGTTTACAAAACATTTTCCTCACAACAGTTTTAAGGTAGATAAAAGAATATTGTCCCCATTTTAAGATGGAAAAGTAGACAGAGAGACTACGCAACTTGCTCAGTCATACAATTAGTAAAGTATCTAATCCTACCTCCAATCAATATCTTCTAAGTCTTTAGGTAGGAATGAAAAAGCCTAGTTCATGTTATCTATAACTACTAGATTAAGAATCTGTTAATGTTCTTTTTTTATTTTAACCCTCTTATTTTATTTCCAAGTAGTTCCTAAGAATAAAAAACTTTAGGATGTCTTTTTAAAACAGGCTTTATTTCAAAGACAGCAGAGTAGGAGAGATTTTCAGGAAAGCTCTGAATTGAGCCTCAAAGGACCAAAGTGAGTAGTTCAGCACAGAAAATAAACAGGTCAGCCACCCTAGTTGACCTCAAGAAAAAAAAACAAACAGAGACTATAGAAAACCACCTTGTCTCTAGGAATATAATACCCACAAAAAACATGGAAGGATCTCAGCATGTAATGGTCTTCTTCACACTCTCCCTCTCCAGATTTGTATTTTTGGAAGTGACCTAATGGAAACAACTAGGAAATGACATATATTTTTAAATTATATTAGGCATTTCTACAGGTTACTGAAGCTCTTTACCCACAGCAACAGAACTAAGCCAACAGTTAGTTGGCCATTCCCTCCACCTGCAAAAGACAGAGAACAACTCACAGCTGGGTGTCATTCCAATACTATGCCTTTTCCCTAATCTGCCAGTAAATTTTCTTCTATAGCATTATAATCTGACTTTTCTTCTCACATATATACTGGAAAAGTACACCCAAATTCAAGCCCCAAAGACAGAGACTAGAGGTGGGGGCAGAGATGGTCTTAGGTACCAAGTCTTTTGTTCAAACCTAGTGAAAATTGGCCCCCAGAGTGCCTCTTGTGGTCCTGTCAGAGTTGATTGTGTGCAGCAGACACACCCCCTTCCACTGGTCAGTATTCCAGGCCTGGTAACGGTCACAGTGAGTCCTTTTTTATCCTGGAACAGAAATGATAATGCCAAACAAGCTCTGTCGATCTGCTTATTTAACACATATACTTTGCCCAGTCCTGATCTCCAGCCAGGGCATCATTCCAATCCACCTAAATTATACTACTGCCCTTATCCTATACTAAATGAGATGGAGACTGAGAACCAGTACAAAAAGCTACTAGTTTAATATGAACAACCAAGAGATACTTGAGTTACATGATTTATTTTGTACCCCAGGAATCTTACTTACAGATCTTTTTAACAAAAAACTTTGCCTATTAAAGCAGTTTCTTCAGTTTTCATTTCTATAATCTCACCTTAAAAGTTCCTAGTAGGTAATCATATTTTTAAAGAAAAATTTCTCAACGTTTTAGAAGTGTTGATAGAGGTTCAGGTGATTCTCATTCAGAAGACTAAAGATACACATATGGCCTAAGTCAAAACAATTTATTAGAGTTAATGATTTCTTTGGATGTTTCAGAAGTAATACAATTGTGTGATACAATATGAGACAACTTCCGCAAAAGCAAAGTTCAACAATTTAGGCAGAAATTTTCAAAAACAAAATCTCAGGTATGGTAGAAGAATACTGTATTTGGACTCAGAGGGCCAAGGTTGAAATCCCACATTTGTCACATAAGGCAAGTCATTTAAACTCACTGGGCCTTAGTTTGCTTCTCTGGAAGATGAAAGAGTTGAACTCTAAATATGACCTTAAGATCCAATATCACTTCTTTAGGGTCTCTTTGCTTTCTTCAAGACAAATATGAAAATTCATCCAATTCTGTTCTGGCATTTATTCTTCAAAGTTCACATTTTCTACCAACTATTTCCTTTAAAGTGATGAGGAAGAGAAAATGTGTGTTTGAATCTTTAGTATTTGGGGAAAATACTAATTATTGAAACATAATTCCCTTCATTATACTTCCCTAAGATACAGTGCCTTACTGACACACAGCACTAACTAAAGAGACAATAAAAGCATGAAATACGGAAAGCTATCTAAGAAGCTGGATAATGACACAAACATTTAGGTGCCATCAAAACAAAACTCTATCTACATTATCCAAGTTGGCAACAAAAACAATTTAGTCAAAGAGTAAGTACTTTATTACTGTTTCTAATTAACCAATAAAATACATACTTTGCTTAACACTAAAACTAAGTCCTACAAATAGGTGACTATTAAAATTTTTCTATGAAAATAACATTTCATTGAAAGATCACAAAAAAGCCAAAAAACCTCACAACTACAAAGCTGGTAGTATATGATTTAACAATAATAAAGAGAGAGTCTAAGAGTAGTTTTAGTTACCGTCCTTAATACTGGATATACCTCAGCTACCTGGCTATAGCTCAGTAAACCTCAGTCAGTCAACAAACATTTAGTAAGTGCTTACTATGTATTAGGCACTATGCTAAATGAAGGGGACACCAAGAAAGGCAAAAACATTATCTCTGTCCTCAAGGAAACGAGATTCTAATGGGAGAGATAACATACAAACAATCTCGTACATACAAGATACATAAGGAGTAAATGGGATGTAATTTCAGAGGGAAGGCACTATTATCACTAAGGGACAGGAGAGGACATGGAAAAGCTCCTTGATACATGTTGAGGGAGTTGGAAAGGATAATGTTCAATCTCTCTTAGCACTTATTTTAGAGCTTAGTTCCATTGTTTACAATTTCTTAATGCATCTAGATTCTTTCTGTATCTGAAGACCTCACAATTCTTATCTAATTTTTCTGCACTTTAGCCCTCTCCTTTTGAATGTATTAATAATATTCAAAATATCTTTTTTTCCTTTTGCAATGCAAAAAAAAGGCATTATAATGACAGGTGCCTTAAAAGCAGATCAACAGAGCTTGTTTGGCATTATCATTTCTGTTCCAGGATAAAAAAGGACTCACTGTGACCGTTACCAGGCCTGGAATACTGACCAGTGGAAGGGGGTGTGTCTGCTGCACACAATCAACTCTGACAGGACCACAAGAGGCACTCTGGGGGCCAATTTTCACTAGGTTTGAACAAAAGACTTGGTACCTAAGACCATCTCTGCCCCCACCTCTAGTCTCTGTCTTTGGGGCTTGAATTTGGGTGTACTTTTCGAGTTCCTCATTTGCTCACTGCCCTCAAGCAAAATAGGGTAAGTAAGTAGTAAGAACTCTTCAAAGTTTGCAAAGCACTCAGCAAAGACTATCTCATCGGATCCACACAGACACTGGTGAGCTAACAGGTTCTAACATTAGAATGTAGAAGAGTTAAAAAGTGAGCCTTAGGTAGATAAGGATCATATATTTCACCTCTCTCCAACACACACACACACACGCACACACACGCACACGCACACACACACAGAGCAATGAGCCTTTCTCCAACACAACAGAGAATGAATACTAAGCTCTGTCAACCCACACAAAAAATATATGATCAAAGAGCCTCTCTCCAATACATACACATATACGTTACATACACACACTCTCACAGAATGAGCCTCTCTCCAACACACATACACACACAAAATGATTAAAGAGCCTCTCTCAAAAACACACACATATACAGTACATACTTACACACATACACAGAATGAGCCTCTCTCCAATACACACACACACACACAATTAGAGCCCCTCTCCAATACACACAGAGTACATACACACACAAAATAAAACATAGACATACAAAATGATTAAAGAGCACCTCTCCAATACATGCACACACACTCACTCTCACAGAATGAGCCTTTCTCCAATACACACACACAAAATGATTAAAGAGCCCCTCTCTGATATGTACATATACAGTATACACACACACATACACTACACACACTCACTCTCATAGAATGACCGTCTCTCCAATACACACACGCACACAAAATAACTGAAGAGCCTCTCTCCAATACACACACACAATACACACACACACACACGCAGAATGAGCCCCTCTCCAATATACACACACACAAAATACTCTCACACAGAACGAGCCTCTCTCCAAAATACACAATACACACTCTCACATAGAATGAGCCTCTCTCCCACACACACACACGAAGAACGAGCCTCTCTCCAGTGCACACACTTTGAGGCTCCGAGGGGAGATGCAGCGTGCACGAGGAAGAGCGGGCCGGGGTGTCGGGGGGCCGGGGGGCGGAGGGGACGACGGCAGGGTCAGGGCGGGTCGGGGGTCGAGGTCGGGCTCACCAGCTGCTTCAGGTCCTCCTCCGAGAGCTCCGCGTAGCGGTACCGCTGCTGCTCGAACTCGTAGCGGGTGGTCTTGGCCACGACCACGACCCGGGCCGGGCGGAACCCGCCTGCAGGGCAGCCCCCGCCGCCGCCGCCCTCCAGCTCGCAGGCTTGGCTGTGCCGCCCGTGCCCCAGGTGCCGCCGGCCCCCGCCTCCGACGCCGCCGAGCCGCGGGCCCGCGCTCTCCGCCGGAACCCCCCCCAAGGGGCACCGCCGCGCTGTTGCGGCCGCCCGGCCCCCCGCCACGCAACGGCAGCTGCACAGCAGGAAGCCTCGGTAGCAAGTCATCGTCCGTCCGCTCGCCGGGAGCGCAGGAGCCGTTGGCGCCCCCTCCCCCCACGGCGGGAGCCCGGCCGGGGCGTGAGCTAGTCCCCGGAGCAGCAGCCGCCACCTTAACCCCGGCCGGGGAGGGGCTAAATGCAGGAGGGGGGCGGAGAGGGAGTGTGCGCGGCCCTGACCCGGGGGAGGAGGAGACGTGCCGCAACGTGACCGGGGGCGGGGCGCGGGAATGGGAAAAGACAGGGTGCGGTGGAAGGAAGCCGGAGGCGCCCGAGCATGGGCGGGCGGGGGTGCGGCGGTTTGTTTGGTTGGGGGGCCCTCAGCTACGCCTGCGCCGACTTCTCCTTATCGCGGCGCCCTTCTAGACGCACGGAGCAGCCACGCCCCTTCTCCCCCCCGCCCCCGTCTCTCCGCTCCACCTTCCCAGCCAATCCAACCTCACTGCGGCTCACTCCCACCCCGCCGAACTGGAGCAGGAAAGGAGATTGGGCAGCAGCCTGGGGGTGGGGCCGTCTGGCTGGGGAGCTCGGGGAGCCCGCCGGGAGGAATCCAGCTGGAACTGGTCCGGTGTAAGGAAGGCGTGGCTGCAGTTGTGGGTGGGGAGAGGTCTGGGTGGCAGACCCCTCCCGCCCCTGGACCACCCGGCCCTGAACGTCGCACCTTTCCTAACTTTAGTATCATATGCACTAGTTGGATGCAGGCCAGGGCAGTGAAGCGTTGGAAGAGAGCCACGTAGCTCTTTGCATCTCTCTGATGCCTTAGGGTTGGAAATAGAGATGGAGAGGCAGCCTAGCACAGTGACCCACTTGGTGGACTTGGATGCAGACCCCACCTCTGATATTTAACGAGCTGTGTGCATGGGAAAGTCACTGAACCTCTGAGCATCCAAAAAATGGGCTAATGCCGCCAGCTTCACAGGATTGTTGTGAGGCTCGTATGAGTTAACATACAGAATGTAATTTACCTATAACTGTCAGTTTTTATCAAGAGGGACCTTAGGAATCATCCTCCTTTAAACTGGGCTTGAATGGTTCCAAGCTAGTACAATGAAAAGAGCAATGACTTCGGAGGCAGAGGGCCTAGGTTCAAATTCTGGTTCTGCTATTTATTGCCAGTGAGCCTTGGGCAAGGCATATAACCTCTCTGGGTGTGAGTCCACCTGTTGTTAAGGAGGAGTGAAAAGCAGACTTCCTCAGGCTAGAGCACACCCCAGGCAGTGCTGAGGCGGCACACTGGCGTCTTCCCGGAAAATGAGGCTCAATGCCTAAAGGCTTATTGCTTTGGGATGATGCAGAAAATCCTGGGGATCCCTTGATCCTCTACTCAGTGTGTGCTAAAGGGAGGAGGGGAACGAGAAGATACTGCTTCAAAGCCACTTACTTACTAGACCAATAAGCCAGGAGTGACCCACTCAGTGGACTTTAAAGGTAGTGACTGTACTTTGGCTCTCTCTCTATCCTGCCCATGTCAACCTACTTCAGTATTTGGAAGGATTTGAGTTGAATCTTATATTTTAAAAATCTTACTCAACTTATTCACCCTTCCCGCTATTCCTCAAGGATTAAGAAAGGGCCATTTCAAATAATCATCTTTGTGCAAGCCGTAGGATCCCTTCCAGCTCATCTGATTTCATGAACTCACAGATATAAGACATACACCCTCATAGGTAGATACAACTAAGACTGTTTGGAGGAGTCCCCTTGGGGATTAGATGTTACAAGCTTAGTGTAAAGTACCGACTGGTAGGGAGTTTAAAAGTCCTGTCTAAAGGACAAGTTTCAGATTAGCTGGACCCAGCCTTGAAAGAAATACATATTCCAAAGTGATTGGTCTGAAATAATGGATTGAAATAAAGCATAGTTTGAAGAGACAGAATTGTTACATTAATAATTAAGAAAAATTTACTGGTTCTAAATGGAATGATTAGATTAGCTAAAGTTTGAGTTGGAAGGGACCTCAAAAGTCATCTAGTTTAACCTGTACCTGAGCCAGAATACAAGAAGGGATCATTCAGCTTTTGCTTGAAGATTACAATGGTGTGTGAATAATTTGGACTGAAGTAAAGTAATTACTTCATTAGCTTCTACAGTAACCTTTAGAACTGTTAATATTAAAATTTTTTAATATATCCTTTTACTTTAGTCATTTGCTTTACATTATTTGACATTGGCTTCACAAGATTTTGACATATTAAGTTTTCATTATGAAACTACCCATCACATCCAATATCAAGTATACCTTTGACAAACTGTCCATTTTTCCAAGGTTATATGGGTTTTCAATATGGCTTAATTCAGGCAAGTTCTTAGGCCATTGAATAAAGCATATTTATTTCCATTCCTTGAATATATTTCTTAGGCTTTTGTGACGTCTCATAGTTGAAGACAAATTCCACATCTACATTTGAACATTTCTGCAATTCATGAATAATTCTGCTTCTCAGTCTATCAAGATTTTTTCTGAGGTCACATTTACTTAATAGAGTCAAAACTTCCGGCCCACAACACATTGTGAGTGAGGAGGAAGAGGATGTAGATCTTTTATAGTCTAATGAAGACATCTAGATATTACAAGCTTACCTGGACTTCTTTTGACTATGGTTTTGGTATAGCCTTCAGTTTTAAAAAGTGACTTTCATCAATGGAGTTGCATGAGTAAAAATTACCATTTTCCAGTCTTTAGTACTCTAACTTTTGTGGGGGTTTTGCCCATGCCAAGGCGTTTTTTTTCCCTTTCATCACAACAGTTAGCAGCTATTTTTAATTGTTCCTCTCGCTGTTCTTCCAACTTCAGGGTGCATATGTCGTATGAGAGAGGAATCAGCAATCCCTCTTCCTTAACCCCTCCTCCAGCTGCCAAGCCTTCTGAATATCTTTTTAAATTTTTTTTTCTTGAGGATTAATTGTTTTTAATAGCACCAATTTGTGAGCTCTTTTTCATTTTTGACTCAACTTTCCTTTGAGCGTCAGTGTGACTGATCTTGATTCCTTGTGGGTTCAAATGATACTTGAAACTCTTGATTTCCCCACACTGACAATTACTGAAGCATCATCTTTAAACACTAAAACTTTTGTGCATTTCCATGCAGTAATATGCTTCCTTTGATACCCTAGAATTAAAAACAACAAATGGGAGCAAGACTACATGTGCATGGAACAAAATCTAGCACTCAACTAAAGATGTGAAAATCAAGTCATTTTGATTTCATTTGGTCTATTTTAGACATTCTGAATCAGTCTAGTGTAAGAAGTGGATATATGCAAACATTGCTGTTAAAAAATTAAACCATATTGTTTCCCCAAATATTTTGCAAACAATTGTACCAACACAGCCCATGGCACTTTTTAATGACTCTAATTGTTAGTAGGTTTTTCCTGTCATTAAACCTAAATTTTCCTCATTATTCTTAGTTCTGTGCTCTGAGGCCAACAAGAACCAGGATGACTCCTATACCAGGGGACAACCCTTCAAATACTCAAAGGTGGTTGTCATATCCTTCCTAAATCTCTTCTCCAGATTAAGCATCTCTAGTTCTTTTGGCTGATAATTGTATTGTATAACCTCAAGGCTTTTTATCATCCTGATCGTACTCTTTGGACGTTCCCCAGCTTAGCAATATCATATACAAATCCTTAGACCTTTTTCAGAATTGCTTCTAAGCCCAAATCTCCTCCATTTTGTATTTGTGAAGTACAAAACTTTACATTTATCTCTATCTTCTTAGTTTGGGCCTAGTGTTCTCATCTGATTTTTCATCTACTTGCTATCATTCCTAGGGGCAGCTAAGGGGAATAGTGCATAGAGTGCAGGGCCTGGAATTAGGAAGATTCATCTTCCTGAGGTCAAATCTGGCCTTAAACACTTAGCTGTGTGACCCTGGGCTAGTCACTTAACCCTCTTTACCTCAGTTCCTCATCTGTAAAATGAGCTGGAGAAGGAAATGGCAAAACATTATCTTTGCCAAGAAAACCCCAAATGGGGTTACAAAGTATGAGACATGACTGAAAACAACTGAACACCATCTTTCCCAGCTCTATGCCATCTGCAAATTTGAAAACCCTGCTGTGTATGCCTTTATCATAGTCATTGATAAAAATGTCAGCCATAATAGGGTCAAACCCAGATCCCTATGACACTGTAGTAGAAAGCATTAATGACTATTCTTTGGGTCTTACCATTCAACCAAGAATATCATGAAAGATTTTGTCAGATGTAATCCTGATATACAGGTAAAATATCATCTGCTGCATTTCCCTAATCTAAAGAGTTTAACAATCTTATATAAATGAATAAAAGGTTAGGTTGGCACAAACTCAATGAAGCCAACATCCATGACATTCTCAATGTCAAACTAAAGGGAAATTCCCCTTTGCCACATAAATTCCTTTGTATATCTTTTATATTTATTTTGTGTATATTTTATGTGCTGTTTTCCTCCTTTCCCCACCCCCACCCCCAAATAGAATGTGACATCTTTGACTACTAGGACTGTTATGGTTTTTTATCTCTATATTCCAGGCACCAGGCACAGTGCCTGGCACATAACTGGCACTCAACAAATAACTGTTAAATGAAAGCATAAATCCCAGCTTTGCCATTTCTAGTTTTGTGACTTTAGGCGAGTCATTTAAACTCTCTGAGCCTCGTTTTCTTCATCTGTAAAATTAGGGGGCTGAGCTAGATGGCTTCTAAGATCCCTTCCAGCTTGAAATCTGTGATCCAATAATTTCTTTGTGTATACCTCATGCTTAGTCTTAATTCTGTTTCTTGAATATGCCACAATTTATTTAACTATCTCCCTGTTGTTGGACATTAGTTTATTTCCAGGTTGTTGTGGTTTTACAGAGTTTTGTTTTCTTTATAATTACATAATGCTATGATGAAAATCTTTGCACAAATAATGCTTTCTAATAACACATTCTGGGTTGATTACCAACAGTGAAATTATTGGGTCCAGAATAATAACAAACAAACAGGCTATGGCTACTAGGTAATACGGAGAATTGCAATAGGCTTAGAAACTGAGCTAAAACAATACAAGGGTCTTCTGTGTGTCGAAGTGGAAATTGGTGGTGACAAAGCATTGTAGGGGATGGGGAAGGGCT